GTTCATATCCATGTTCATATCCAGTATCCATGTTGATTTAAAATAATAACTGGTGATGATTGTCTTGAATAGCTAAACTTTTATTGTATTTGTATGATAAATACAAGCTTATGGATAGCTTTAGGTTTTTATTAGTAACCATATTTAATATTTTATTTATTAAAGATTAGGACAGTGAAATCAGTAATTTTATGCTAACTTCTGTTAGTAACCTTTATTGTTTTATAACTATTTTCAAACTATTCACTTCTTCCCAATTGAAATTTTAGGTTGCTTTTCTTTGCCTCATGGCTGTGATCTAGATTTGCTTAACCTGTCTCTCTAGAAACTGCTTTTTGCTGTTGTTCAGTTGTTCTCTTGTGTCTGACTCTTTGTGACCCCATGTACCATAGCATACCAGTACTGCCCAGGGGGTTTTCTTGGCAAAGACACTGGAATGTTTTATCATTTTCTTCTCCAGTGGAATAAGACAGGTGAAGTAACTTGCCCGGGATCACACAGCCAGTACCTACCTGAGAGTGGACTTGGACATAGGTCTTCCAGGTCCATGCTTTCTATCCACTGAGTCAGCTAGCTACCACCTGGAAACTGCTGTAGGATGTATTTAGCTTTTTAAAAAAAGACAGCCTTTAATAATAATATTTTTTAAAAAACAGCCTTTTTTCAGTATGGATATTAGTACTTATACTTGACATACAAAGAAAAGAGCAGCTCAGTAGCGAGGAATTTTTATGTTTAAAAGGGAGCTTTTCAGTAAATGTGCATCGTGCTCTCCTAGCTGATGTTCTGACCTGTGTAATACAGAGTAAGTGCCAAGAGCCCAGAGTAGGGTGCCACTGACAAGAGGGGCACTGACTATTTGAGAAATTAACTTCAGCTAGAATTTCATTTTCAACCAATAGATCCCACTGTGGATTGTTATCTTGTTGTCTTCCTATGCTCATCATGCAGTGAGGTTCCTTTTCTGTGGTACTGTTGAACATATTGCTTTTTACATAGTATGCATTCAGTAAGTAGTTTTGAATGGAATCGATATTTGAAGAAATAATTAATTCCTAACATTAATAACTGATCAAGGACAAAAGATCTTACTTTGGTTAGAAATGTTTTGAGGGTGTAGCAGATATATCACAGCTGCATTTTCAGATATTTGAATGTGATGATGATGATGTTCAAAAAAGAATTAAATTTGGGCGTAACACAGATAAAAGTGTCTTAGTTATGCTTCTCCTCTAGCTGTCACTGCATGATTGATGCCCAGCATCTTCATGCTGGAAAGAAGCTTCAGATTGAAACTGACAGGTGCCACAAGGTTTATTTAGGACCACCTCAGACTTGTCTTAGTTAGATGCATCACATCTGCCTCGTGCATGGTCAGCTTCTGCATTTCCTCCTTTAGAGACTCGTGGTACACAGATATTACTATCTGTGCTGCCTCAACTACAAATTGGATGAACAATCCTTGACACTTTTTCAATATTATTACATTAAACCAAGTGGATTTTGATTGATAACCTAATATTCATCTAATGCAAAACATCAATCATGGCAAGTATATTAATTATTTAATATTGCAGTCTAATTCAGAAATCGATGTGCTGCATGAGGGGAAGGGAAACTCATGGTTCCCAGAAGACTTAAGACAGGGAATGATTAAAAAAAGACCTGCTGTACTCCTGTGTGTTAGTTCAATACAAATCTTTATTCATTTGCCAATAATCTCTTTCCATTTTCCACTTCAGGACCATTTTATCAGTTTTGAGACTTATAATTGAATTAAGTCTGCTTTCAGCACAGGGCAAAAGGAGTTGCACCAACATTGATGAAGTCATGACAGGGATGGCACAAGAGACAGACCACTAAAGAGGACGGGTTTTATACCATTAACTTGAAACTCTTTACATCAGTGTCTTGGTTCCTGTTTCTTTTAAGTTCATTAGGATCTTTGGCCATCACCACATATCACTATCACTTCTTTCCCATTTAAATAACACACACCTGTGTGTAGTATTCTTTACTGATAATACTGATTTAACTCTGCCTAAAGTAATGCTAAGAGAAGGATTATTTTCAGGATTTTACAGCTGGAAGGGATCCTAAAGGTCATGACCTTTATACTCCAAACCTCTTATTTTACAGATGAGGAAACAGATGAATTAATTGACTTCACTGGTATCACAGAGATAAGAAATAGCAGAACTAAAATTTAAACTCAGATCTTCTGACCCCAAATGCATTGCTATTTCCACTCATTGACGTTTCCACCTTGGCATGGATGACTTTTTGAAACTTCATTAACCACTATGAAATTCATGTATAAATCTTATGTAACACGAATGGCCTCTAGTAGCTTGCTATGGTTGCAAGCTCAGTAAAGTAGAAGTGAGTGACCTATAAAATCCATTCTATCCCTAATGTTTTCTAGTCCTCCCAGTCCATAAAGAGCTGGGTTACAGTACTGAGTAATAAATCCTGTGAAATAGTCACATGTACTCAAATTCACACTATTCACAGTTGTAATTATATAAAACATAGTACAAGCATGCTTCATTTTATTGAACCTCACTTTATTGTGCTTCACATATTTTACCTTTTTTACAGATCGAAGGTTTGTGGCAGCCTTGCGTTGAGCAAGTTTGTTGGCGCCATTTTCCAACAGCATGTGCTGACTTTGTCTCTCTCTGTGCCGTTTTGGTAATTCTCACTGTGTTCAGACTTTATCATCATTACTGTATCTGTTATGATGATCTGTCATCAGTGATCTTTGATGTTACTGTTGTCATTGTTTTGGGACACCGTGAACTGCAGCCGTATAAGATGGCGAACTTGATTTATAAATATGTGTTCTGACTGCTGCACTGACTGGCCGGTCCCCCATCTCTCTCCCTTTCTTCAGACCTCCCTATTCCCTGAGACACAGCAATATTAAAAATATTACATAAACTTAATTGAAAAAAGCAGCAGCAGGGTCTGAGAGGAGTGACTCCAATTTGAAGGAAGTTCTACTGTGAGTAAACTGCTATCAAAGAGCATTAGGTGCTGCAGAGATACCTTTCATGAAAGAAGGAGTCAACTGATGTGGCAGACTTGATTGTTGTCTTATGGTAAGAAATTGCCACAGCCACCCTGATTAGTCAGCAGCCATCAATATCAAGGCAAGATCCTCTACCAGCAAAAAGATTACTATTTATTGAAGGCTCAGATGATGGTTAGCATTTTTTAGCAATAAAGTATTTTTAATTAAAGTATGCACATTGCTTTTTTATAACTATAGGGTAAAAATATATGCACTCAGAAACCAAAAAATTCATGACTTATTTTATTACTATATTCACTTTGTTGTGGTTTGGAATAGAACCTGCCATATCTCCAGGCCATGCTTTTAATTGGTTCTAGTCCAATGGAAATAGATGATTTGAATTCAAATACTGCGGCTGCTTCATGGGATTCTTTCTTCACACTGATCAGAACTTAGCTGTATAAGATACTTTCTGGTATCATGTTAGCCTCATAAACAGTCTCAATTCTTTCAAGCCATAAGGCTCTCCCTTGTTATATTCATTATCTATGCTTCATAACATTTAGATTTTGTGATGATTCACTAAGGTTTACACTAAATTATTCCCTACCCCTAAATCATACTTTTTGTTGTTCAGTCATTTTTAGTCATGTTCTACTCTTTGTGACCCCATTTGGGGTTTTCTTGGCAGAAATACTAGAGTAGTTTGCCATTTCCTTTTCCAGCTCATTTTACAAATGAGGAAACTGAGACATACAGGGTTAAGTGACTTGCCCAGAGTCACACAGTTAGTAAGTGTCTGAGGATGGATGTGAACTTAGGTCTTTCTGACTCCAGGCCATTCTACTCTATCCACTGCAGTGCCACCTAGCTGCTTTAAATATACTCAGTCATGAAATATATACAATATAACATAAGTGACTTATGATGCATTCATGTATTAGATTAATGTTTTTATATTGTTCTTTCTCTGTCTTTTGAATTTTGGTTTATTCCAGCAGTTTCTTTTTAGTTATGAGTTCATAGAGAGCAAGAATCAGCTCTATGTAGTTTTATTTATTATTAGAGAGAATTGTGTACTTATTAATGCTTTTAATTGTAATAGTGATCATATTGTCTACATAGTAATTTGGCGTGTTACTATTTAAGTCCTGTCAGATGGTAACCCGTCAACTAGATGGAATTAATTTCGTTTCTAAGAATTTCTCTTGGCCATAGTTTAACTAGTGCATACTACACAGTATGAGAATCTGGCTCATTACCAGTCAGTCTTTAAACACTCCTCCCCTCATACACACACACTCACAATATTTAATTAATTAAAGAACAAGATGTTTTAAAGTCAGAGCCTTTGACATTGAGCAAACCGTGTTAACCAAGTAACTGGACCACAGAAAGCAGGCAGAGCTGCAGGGCTGTTGTTTTAATATTAAAATACTTTCCTTTTCCAGCTCATTTTATAGTTGAGGAAACTAAGGCAGACAGGGTTAAGTGATTTGCCCCAGGTCACACAGCTACTATAGCCAAATTTGAACTCAGGTCTTCTTGACACCAGTCTGTTTCTCTATCCAATGTGCCATCTAGCTGTCCCTAAAATTTTTTTTTAATTTAAAAAAAAATTGCTTCTAATAAGAATCTGCAGGACTTAGTGTAACTTTTTTGGTGTAGCAGGGTGACTGACTTTTTTTTTCCTTTTCCTTGTCCACAGAAATACTGTAGGGCATTTTAATGTCGTTTTAAGTTATTTCAGTCAGTGAAATATGAATTATCACTTACTAGATAAATAATTAAGTCCATTTTAATGGTTGGTCTTCCTTTAATGGAAATTGTTCTGCATTATAATAATGTAATCATGGAAATGTTAGAAAAATAAGACTTTATATATGTACATACATACATACATGCATACATATCCAAAGTAAACAAATCACAGGAGGCAAGGGTTTAGCAACTGTTTAGAACTTTTGTTCTTCTGTTACAGGGATTCTGGAAACATCAAAGCTGGATTAGAACATCTGGTAAGTTCTAATTTTCTCTTGAACATTTGCATCATCTTTGATATCTGCATTCTAAATGAACACTTTTGAATGAGCTTTGAATGCCTTGAATTTAGAAAATCAGCCATTCCCCAAAGGGTCAGCTCACTGTTATTATGCGAAGCCACTTACATTTTCATTTGTCTTATCATTTTGAGGAAATTTTAATTTTTTTTAATTACTTTTTTTATGTAGAGATGAAATAAAATGGACAATAGTCCTTAAATTGGTGGTTGCCTTAATTATAACCAAAAGCAGTTTGGTGTTGAATTTTTGACATAACCTGATCTGACACAAAGAAACTTGTTTTATAAGACAAACAGTCAAATATTTCCTGCATAAATATGGTATGTTTTAGTAATTTAAAGTCTTTGAAAGAAATGTGCAGCTTTGTTTTTTCTGTTGTCTTAGCCTTATGAATAATGCATTGGTTTAAACTCCATTCAGTTCTGTAATATGTAATAATCATTGAAATGCAAAATATTTTTGGTTTAAGTAAACATATTCAAACCACTAGTGAAATTGAAGCAGATTTTACATTAAAAGCCATGCACTGATCAAAAACAGGGGAACTGTGGTACTGTCACCAGTTTGAAACTCATTCAGCTTGCTCTGAATCTTTCGGCAGAACATTAAGTAGTTCATCTAAACAGATCATTATAAAGTCATGGTCTGGTTTCTGGTCAAATCCAAATGTTGAATAATTAATGGCACAGATTCTTTTGTAAATACAGTGTAAGTATTTTTTTTTTTAATACAAGACTTCATTCGTATATCATGCAGTAGCTTTGTTAACTATTAATGTACACTACTTTGATGCTACAAAAACAAGCAATAGCAAAATACAGTGTCGTCAACAAATATTATTTAGAATGTAGAGCTCTCTATTTGGAAAACACCAGTTACTTTAAATACAAGAGAAATGAAAGCCTCTTGGTGTTAAAAATGCTTCCTAATCATCACAGACAAATTATTACCAAAAGGAATTTAAAGGTTAAATATTTATCAGCCTGATTTTTGAGTTGGTAGTGATAACTACTGGCATCAGTATCAGCACCGTGAAAAAATATTTACTAGATACTCAACTTGTACGTGATGCTGTACTAGATATTGTACATATTGTTCTAGACCTCTAGAAGAAAATAAAACAAGAGATGCACTAGCTTAAAGATTTGTAGGATCTTAGAATCTAGAGCTGCAGTCTAACTTAGAGGCCATGTAGTCCAACATTGTTACCTTACAAATAAGGAAATTGAGAACCAGGGAGGGAAAATTGCTTTTCTTATCATCACATAGTTGATAAGGTAACAGTGTTTAGATTTGAACCCTTTTCTTCTGATTCCAAATCCAGAGTTTTACTATAGACTTATGAGGGACATGAGAGTCACATCACTTTATTGGGAAAAACCTGGAGGGAGGAGGAGCAGTGCAGTGTGTGAATTGCAAGTTCAATTCAAGTCAGCAGTGTAATGGAGTGCATTAGGAGAGGTATAACATGCAGGACTGGGGAAGCTGTTTCTGTTTAAATTTGGCCCTAGTGGGTAGAAGATGGATTGGAAATGGGAGAGACTTGGAAGCATAAAGACCAGATAGGAGAAATCTATTGCCATAGTCCCAGGAAGATGGGATAGAAGCCTAAACTAGGGAGGTTGTGTGATGGAGAGGAGGTGCTCGATGGAAAAGATGTTCTGAATGTAGAAATGACCAAATTTGGCAACTAATTAGATATCTGGGGTGAATGAGAATGAATAGTCAGGATGACACCAAGGATATGAAACAAGGTAACTAAAAAGATAGTGATCCCCTTGACAGTAATAGGAAAGTTCAGAAATAAGTTAGGTTTGGCGGAAAAAGGTAATGAGTTCTGTTTTGGGCATGTTGAGTTGGAAATGCCTACATAGGATCCAGCTAGTAGGACAAATGCAATTGGGAATTCATGAGAAAATGCTGTCAGGTACTGGCGAAGAGTGGTGAATCAGTGGAATACATTAGGTACACAAAACACAGTAGTAAATGACCATAGTAATCAAGTGTTTGATAAACCCAACCACCCTAGCTTTGACCGTATCTTGGTATATGGTATAAGATGTTGGTCTATACCAGACCTGCGCAACTCAGCAGTAGGTAGGAACCAAAATTAAAATAGGCTAAACTTCTTTGGGCTGTGGATAGGTTTTTAGCAGCTCACTTTCCAAGTAAAGATATAATTAATGATTAAACTATTTTGCAAGTAAACCATCTTTTTTTTTAAAAAAAAGGAAATTTCAATTAATGTCAATTAATTACACTTCTTAAGATTTTTATTTATCATGAAATTACATTAATGTTAAAAAAAAATTTACTTTGCTAAGCGGTACAAGTTTTAATACATATTTCAGGTTTTCTTACTGTTTACATTTAGTTAATGGGACATATTACACTTCTTGTCAGCAGTTGATTGTACTCTGGAATCATATTTGAAATTGATTTCTTTAGAAATCTGAAAACTAACCTTAGTAGCCACCTCTTTTTCCAAGTTTACTTTCTTGAAAAACCATTGTTCCCCACTGAGATTTTTCAACAATTTGGATGCTTTAATTTGTTTTTCATTGGTGTCCAGTTTGCTTAAGTCAGAATGTTTTCATTTGAAATGGCTATTACTTCTTGGCAAACAAAGCACAATATTTTGTCTGTCATGAAAGTAAATAATGTCCACTCTGGATTAAACATTCTGTGTTCCAATTCAGTCTTCCATTTCTTTTTATCACCCATTTTACAAAGTCACCCCAAAAACTTTAGTGTTAGAACCAAAAAATCTCCACAGCAACTGCTTTACAAAGAAATACTGAACTGAATGTCTGACTTTGCAAAGAGCACCAGACACTCATGTAACTTGGAGGATGGCCACGCAGCAAGGGAAAGGAAGAAGCCCTGGCGTTGTTGCCTCTCGTCAGCCACATTGGCGCATGGCTGCACTCACTTTGTCCCTATTCAACACTAGAAAGGACAGAAAACACAGCAAAAAGATACGACTCTTGACTCTCGCTCCTGTCTGACTAGAGACAGAGGGATGATGGTTAGCTGCCACCGGTCACATGGCAAACAGGAGAGAGTGCACAGTAGCAACCCACCCACCAAATTACATGATAGGCACAACAGTGACTAGTGAAAGGCCAGTTAAGTGGGCCACCAACAAAGTGTTTGTTACATCTTTACTTTCTTTTACATCCTCTACATTTTTTGTGGGCTGCCTGAAATCCCTTGGGAGACTGCAGGCAGGCCATGGGCCATATGTTGTGCTGGCCTGTTCTGAACCTAGGTTTGGCCATACTGTTTTCTTAGTGTCCCCAGCAGTTTTTATCAAATAGTGAGTTCTTGTCCCAAAAGCTAATGTGTTTGGGTTTATCAAACACTAGAATACTATGTGTCTTGTGTACCTCTAATCTGCTCCACTGATCCACTACTCTTGTTTCTTAGCCAGTACCATATAGTTTTGATGGTTACTGCTTTATAATATCATTTGCGATTCAGTTAGTCCATCTTCCTTCGTACTTTTTTTTCACTAATTCCCTTGATATTATTGACCTTTTGTTCTTTCAGATAAATTTTATTGTTTTTTCTAGCTATATAAAATAATTTTTTGGTAGCTTGGTATGGCACTGAATAAGTAAATTACATTAGGTAGAGTTGTTGTTTTTATTATATTGTCTCAGCCTATCCATGAACAATTGATTTTTTCTAATTATTTAACTCTGACTTTATTTGTGTGAAAAGTGTTTTATAATTGTCTTCATTTCTCTTGCTGCTAGGCATTGTTTGTTATATATAAAAATGCCAGTGATTTATATTGGTTCATTTTATATCCTGCACCTTTGCTAAAGTTGTTAATTGTTTCAGGTAGTTTTTTAGTTGATTCACTAGGGTTCTTTATGTATACCATCAAATTTTCTACAAAGAGCATTAGTTTTGTTTCCTCATTGCATATTCTAATTCCTTTCTTTTTCTTCTCACATAACTATAGCCAACATTTCTACTACAATATTGAATGATAATGGTGACAATGGATGTCCTTGCTTCAATCCTTATCTTATTGGGAAGGCTTCTAGCTTATTTCCATTACAGATAATGCTTGCCGATGGTTTTAGGTAGATACAATTTATCATTTTAAGCAAAGTTCCAATAATTCCTGTGCTCTCTATTGTTTTTAATAAGAATTGGTACTACATTTTGTGAAAAGCTTTTTTTTTTTGCATCTATTGGGATAATCATATGATTTCTGTTGGTTTTGTTATTGATATGGTCAGTTATGCTGATAGTTTTCTTGATGTCGAACCAGCCCTGCATTTCTGGTATAAATCCCATCTGGCCGTACTGTATGATCCTTATACTATGTTGCTGTAATCTCCTTGGTAGTGTTGTATTTCAGATTTTTGCATCAGTATTCATTAGGGAAATTGGTCTGTAGTTTTCTTTCTCTGTTTTAGCTCTTCCTGGTTTAGGTATCCACACCATATTTATGTCATAAAAGGAATTTGGTAAGAGCTTTACCTATTTTTCCAAATAGTTTATATAGTATTGGAATGAATTGTTCTTTAAATGTTTGGTACAATTCACGTGTGAGTCTCTCTGGCCCTGGGGATTTTTTCTTAGGGAGTTCATTGATGGCTTGTTCAATTTATTTTTCTAAGATGGAAGGTTATTTAAATAATCTATTTCCTCTTCTGTTAATCTAAATGATTTGTATTTTTTAAAATATCTGTTTTGCTTAGATTGACAGATTTATTGGCATATAATTGAGCAAAAAAGGATGCTAATCATTACTTTATTTTCCTCTTCATTGGTGGTAAATTCACCCTTTTAATTTTTGATACTGGTAATTTGGTTTTCATCTTTTTTTAAATCAAATTAACCAATGGTTTATCCATCTGATTGATTTTTTTATGAAGCCAGGTCTTAGTTGTATTTACTAGTGCGATAGGTTAGTTTTATTCATCTCTCCTTCG